CTCCTTCCTTCCTCCATTCTGGTTGATGGATAAAGATAGATTCTGAGGGGCCAAATGCAAGAACAGATATTCCAAATAAGCAACAACAGTTGTTTCAAGAAGGAATGATCATTCATCAGTTGTTGAACATTAAAATGGAACCGGGATGCTGGGAGAGGGTAAAGACAAAAACTTCCAGCTTTAACAATTTACAGTTCAGCAACATTAATTATATTTACCCCACTGTACAACAATCATGGGAATGGAATTTTTAATGAACTACTATCCTAAAAAACAAAACCTTTAATTGTTCTCTTCACAAAGAGAATGCAAGGAGCTAGACAGGCACAAGAAGCCCACAGCGCACTCTTGTCAGTTCACTTGAGATAGAGGAGAAGAGGTAGGCGCCTGCTGCAAGCTTCCGCCCCATTACCAAGCAGGGAAATCTAGCAGATAGAGAGCAGAGGGCTGCACAGCGGTGAGGCCAGGCCACAGGGACTCGAGCAGTCTAAGCAAGTGCTGCCCGACGGAGCAATGGTGTCTTTCTGAAGTGCAGCATGTATGGTAACGCTAGCAAACCTCACTGGTCACTGCAAGCTTCTTGGAATCGGTGAGCACCTTCTACAGAAGCCTCCTAGACCATCTACCAGCAACGTTCTTATAGAATGGGGTGTCATACTTCTCATTCTGTGGCACTACTAAAGACCTATGGACCCTGGTTGTACAGTAAGGAAGAACTGTAATAATGTACTCAGCATCGCAGTCTGCTGCCCGGCAGCTATCTGCTCACCGCCCAGACACCTACTGCTGGCCCCACCAGCTTCACACGACCACCACCTTTACAAGCTGCATTTATTCTTTTCAAAGCTCTACACGTACTTCTTACTTCCATGTAACTGAGATGCTGTTTACTAGAGGGACCTATGATATACTACATACGTAATTAAAGTTTAACAAGCTTTGTGCATCAATGTCTACGGAGGAATTGCTCCTGCATGCGACTGACTTCTTAATAAAAACACTTAATGGCAATTAAAACATACTTTTAGCGTGTATTCTGCTCACCTTATAACCCGAACAAGTTCATGGAAAGCTTGATCTACATTCATCCGAATCTTTGCCGACGCCTCCATGTATGTTACCTTAAGTTGCCGTGCTAACTGCTGGCCTTCCTCCTGGGTCACCTGAAATTCCGAGAGCTGCGTTTAATGTGCACTCTTAGCAATGCATTTGCTCCATCCATTCCTGGCTGCAGCTCGCACTGTTGTGCCAGAGCTCAAGTTGTTTTATCCTACGATGAACTACCAGACTTTGCAGCTCAACACAAATGCAAGGCCCGACCCCACCCCACCCCATCAGGACAACCCAGAACAACCTGTGCTAAACAGTCAACCCTCACCCTCAATACTCAAGAGCTCCATATCCGTGGACCCATCCAACTGAGGATCCAAAGTAATGGAACTGAACTGGACTGAAGAAGGCAACTAGTTTTTCTTATTCTGTTTACTTCTTATTCCCTGAATAAATATTCCCTAAAAAATATGGGCAGACCACAAAAACATTAACTGACTCCAGGTAATATATTTTAAATGTAAAAGATGTGAAGGGTAATATTCACCTAAAATTATTAAACTACATTACATTTATATAGCAGGGCTTAAAACTGTGTTTCTGGAGGAAATGACATTTTATTGCTAACACTGCCACAAAAGCAATGAAGAAAAATAAAGAAAAAAGTCAGATGGCGAAAATGAAAATCCAGGAACGTATCACTCGCAGAGAACCCCACTCATCCGGGCACTTTTCAATGATGGATTTTCTTACTGAGGACCATAATTTTTATATATTTTATACCTGGAAACATTCTAAGATCATCTAAGAATTCTTGTGAAAATTCCAGAGGCTTTTCTACATAACTACTCACTTGTTCATACAGGAGTTTTGCTTCTTCCTTTCTGACATTTCCTTTTCTGGCCTCACGGTGCTGCCCAGACGCGCCTGCACAATGACGCAGGAGATGACAGGCACTGTCCCGCCAGCTCTGATCTCAGGGACAAGGCGCCTCTACCTTACCCGTGGCATGCTTGTCGGATGTTTACAGTAGATGCCCTTTACCCAGTTAACAAGACTGCCCGCTATTCTGCCTGTAAAGAGTGCTTGTCAGAATGGCTGCTGATTTTATCAATGTGTTTCTCTATTGAGTCAATTGTTAGAGATTTCTTTTTCTGACTGCTAACAATTGTTTTAAAATGTTATACCAGCTCTCCGCTCCTGGAATAAAACCTACTTCAGTGATTTTCATGCACTATTAAATTCTATTTGCTAACATTTTATTAAGAATTTTTATATTTATGCTCAGAAGAGATACCAGACTGTGGTTTTCATGTCTTTTGTTTGGTTTCAAGAGTAGACAGTTTTGTGTAATAAGCTAGAAAGAACTCTCTTCAATATCTAACAATTTGTGCACCACAGGGAATACTACTTTTTGTTATGTATAATTCACCAGCAAATCCATTTGAGCTTAGAGCTTTCTTTGAAGAAAAGTTTTTGTACTGAATTTATTTGATATATAGAACACTATTCCACATTTTGAGACAAGGTCTTCCTATATAGTTCAGGCTACACTTGAACTCACTGCATAGCTCAGCCTGGCCTTGAATTCCTACCAATCCTCTGCCTCAGCCCCTTAAGTGCTGGGCTTACAGATGTGCATCATCCTGCCTGGCTTCAGCATACAGAATTCTTGTTTGAAGAATGCTTTTTAAGGAACATGTCCCTTTTATCTAATTTTATTAGCATAAAGTTTATAGCACTTCTCTATTACCTTTTACATATCTGTAAGATATGAATAATGATTCCTTTCTTATCCCAAATAGTGATGCGTCCTCCCTGCCTCACCCCCACCCCCACCCCCCGGTCATTCTGGCCAAAGGTTTGTCATTTTACCTGATCTAAATCAAGCTTTTGGGTCTTATTTCTTCTATAGTATTGTTTTGTTTTGTTAAGGAGGAGGTGCTTGATTTGTTTCTGCAGTCCTGGGGGCTAAACCCACCTCACCCCCAACCACCACCATTATTTTCATCCTAAGAGCTTCTTTAAGCTCAGATTTGCTATCCTCTGCCATAGCTTCCCACAGTGTTGGGATTACAGGCTTGCGCCACACACCTAATTTCTTCTATGGTTTTTCTGTGTTGTTTCTATTTTCCTTTCTTTTTAAGTGCTGGACCTTGTTCATACTAAGAACCTGCTCCAACAGTGGCCCTCAGAGTTTTTCTATTTTTTATTTAATTGGATTCCATTCCTATTTCCTTCTACTTACTATGATTTTAATTTTGCTTTCTTCAGTTTAAGGTAAAACTTAAGTCTTCAAATTGAGGTCTTTTTTTCTAATACAGGTGTTCAGTATTATAAACTTCTCCATATTTCTGAGTAGCACTCCACAAAGTTTGATGTGTTTAATTTTCTTTCAGTTCACAGTACTTTGCAATCTCTCTTTTGATTTTTTCTTTGACCCAAGAAGTAGTAAGATACATTTCTCAATACATGAAGATTTCCTACACATTAATTTCCAATTTGATTCCACTGCCATCAGAAAAAAACACGGGGGCCAGGGAGACAGCTCAGTAGAATAAGCACTTGCCTGGCAAACACAAGGGCCGGAGTTCAATCCCCGGTTCCGCCCAAAAAAAGAAAAAGAAAAAAACATGTTCCTTGAGGAGAATCTTTTTACATTTACTGAGGCACATTTTATGAACCCATATAGTTTCAAAAGACTCTGCTGCTGGGTGGAGTATTCACTAAATGTTAGCTGGGATAAGCTGCTTAACAGTACCGTTCAACTCATCTATTATCTCCCTGATTTTCTTCGTACTTACCAGTTGAAGTTGCTAAAGTCTGTTAAGTGAAAATTTAAGTGTGAATTTGTCCATTTCTTTTCAGTTCTTTTAACCCTTACTTCAAGAGTTTTGAAGGTGTTATGAAGGCACATACATGTTTAGGATCATTATGTCCTGCCTGGGTACAGTGATGCGTGCCATAATCTCAAATACTTGGGAAATGAAATCAAGAGGATCACAAGTTCAAAGCCAGCCTGGGAAACATAACAACTTAGCAAGACAGCATTTCAAAAATTAAAAGGGTTGGGGCCTCAGGGTGAAGGCCCTGGATTCAAAGGCCAGTACAAAAAAAAAAAAAAAAAAAAGGCTGTCATGCTTCTTAGTGAACTGATTTCTTTAAGTAACAACCCTCCTAAAAATAAAACAGAGAAATCAAAATATATCATGTCCAGGTACAAATTCCCTATGAATATGATTATGTATATCTAAGTTGTACCAATAAATGTTGCATATTATATTGTATATAATACATATTCATTCTCCTCTTTAATCCCTGGTAATTCTCTGCTCCAAACTTGACTTTACCTATTCATATAGACTTTATTTCACTATTGTTAATATAGTATGTCTTTCCTCAGCCTTTTACTTTTTTTTTTTTGCGGAACCGGGGATTGAACTCAGACCCTCGCGCTTGCCAGGGAAGCGCTTATTCCACTGAGCCACCTCCCAGGCCCAGCCTTTTACTTTTAACTTACTTTTGTCTTTAAAATAGAAATAGATCTTTTGGGGCCGGGGAGATGGCTCAGTGGAATAAGTGCTTCCCTGGCAAGCACAAGGGCCTGAGTTCAATCCCCAGTTCCGCAAAAAATAAAATAAAATAGATCTTTTGTACGGTCCTGTTTTTCAGCCCTTCACCTGAGATGTTTACACAACTGATACAGAATTTGATCACTGGTATAGTTAACTCATCTTGTGGCTTGCTTCCTATTTGCTCTATGTGTTCTTTGTCCTCACATTTATCCTCTTCTGCCTTCTAAGTTAACTGAGTTGTTTTCATAACCTCATTTTGTCTCCTTTATTACGCTTAGTAGTTGCTTTAGAGTTCAGAATATACATTTTAATTAATCACCATCTTATTCAAATACTAAACCAATCCATGCACAGTTTAAGAACCTTGCAATCATCTACGTCTCCCTTCTTTATTATAACCTTGTACCTGACAATACACTGTTTTGACTTCAGACACTCAATTACATTTTAAAGAGATTTACACCACAAAGCAATTTGTGTTTACTCATATCCTATCCTATCATACATCCTAGCACATCATATATCATATCATTAAGATTCTCGGTGCTCCTCATTCTTTTATGCCGATGCCTGTCGCCTTCTCCCTAAGCATTTCTCTTACACAAATTTCCTGTGATGCTGGCTAATGATGAACTCACACTGTACATGTTTGGGAAAATTCTTAAGTTCACCATTTTTGAAATAAATTTTGGTGGGTACTAAGTCCTAGATAAAGTACTTAAAAATGTTGTGCACAGCTATGTTCTGGCCTACACGTTTCCAACAGGAAATAATATGAATACAACTTCCATACTTGTGTTCCTCTATACGCCACGCTTTGTTTTCCTCTGGCTATTTTTCAGACTTTTCTCATCACTGGTTTTAAGAAATTTTATTATGATGTATCTTGTAATTTTCTTCATGATTCTTGTGCTGAGAGTTTGTAGAACTTCTTGGATGTGTGCACTACAGTTTTCATCAAATTTAGAAATTTTCAGTCCTTATTTCTACTATTAAGACCATTTAGTGAGTGCATTTTCACTTCATAGATTTATATTCTAAAAGTCTGATTTGCATCTTTTCACATTTTGTGCTTCTCAGCCTTCTGGCTAAAATCAAGTGTTGATCTTTTTATATTTTCTACATCACTTCACCTTACTGTAGTTCTTTTTCTACCCTCTTAAGTGAAGGATATAGGTAAAATAAGTGTTTTGATGCCTCTGTCCACTACTTCTATCATCTGTGTCATTTCTCAATCTGCTTTTGTTTATTGGTTTTTCTCTTATAATGGAGCATATTCTTCCTTTTCCTGCCTGGTAATTTTTAATTGGATGCTTGAGACTTTAACATAGTAGTACAAAATAACATGTATTTCTATATGCATTCATGAGGTTTTTTTCCTCAGATTTAGTTAGGCAGAAACGGTCTGATCCTTTGGCGTCATGTTCAGGTCTTGTTATACAGTGCTATAAAAGTATTTAATCTGCCCCCCTATTAGGATAAAACCCTCCACACTATATGGCCCAATACTCCAAGAGTGTAAAGTTTTCCACTCTTACTGGCTGGAATCTGAGTTACTCCTAGATCCATTTGATCTCACTGCATTATCCTCTGTAATTTTTTCAAGTAAGACGGGCATGGTGGCACATGCCTATAACCCCAGCACTTGGGAGGTTGAGGCAGGAGAATTGCTGTGAGTTCAAAACCCGTCTGGGCTACCAAGTGAGCTTAAGGCCAGCCTGAGCTGCACAGTGACCTGTCTTGGGGCAGGGGTGGGATGAATGAAGTACTTTTGCTCTGTCAATTTAATATACTATTCCCAAAATTCAGCAACCTTCATACAACACCATTACTGTTACATTAATGTGCACATGCCCGAACAATTACTTCATAACAGTTTGTGCCTGCCACATTCCAGCAGAGCAGAAGGCAGGTTCCACATAGCACCAGTACAGCCAAGTTTATGTAACTTCTAAATTTACCTTGCCTTTCTACAAAGTAATATATATTCATGTATAAGGCCTGTAAGCCTGAAATACAAGTCAAATCAGGAAGGCAATTAACATTAAGTATGGAAGACATGGAAGCTTCCTAGAGCCACCAATTTAGGAGGAACAATTTCTATTTTTAAAAATTTTGACAGGGAACTTCCTCCCCATAGAAATAACCCCTATGTGTTCCCAAATTCTGTTCCTTCTTCCTAGGCTGTCACCCTTCTCAGTGGGCCTACACTCTCCTTTTCCTTCTTACTAACCTTTCAAGGCTCAAGCAACTGAAAACCTCCCTCCTCCTGCTGTGTTAGCAGTGCTTTCTGAGCGTGCCCACCAGAGTTAAGGTCACCACTGATAAAACTTAGTTTCCTTTTCTCATTCTCTTACCATTTAAGATGTCCTCCGAGGCTAGGAAGGCACTTTCAACACGTGTTAGATAAATGCAATATGATCATTCAAATAAGTAAGTTCATCCTCCAGTAATAGATATAAAAAGAAAAGTACTTAAACATTTAAGTCAATTTCAAACTATATGTTGATATAAATTTGGTACAAGGAGAGAAATATATGTCACTAAAAATCTTATTGTCTGCTTAAACGTTATGGCTTGGGTGTATTTGTCCCCCCAAAGCCTCATTCAGCCATTGAGGTGAAGTTCTACAGTTTGTAATTAACTCATGATCCACTGGGATTTTGGGTCTGAGTGCTGCTGGGATTTTGGGTGTGAGCGCTACACCCAGCCTAAGCCTGAATATAAGAGAGACAGAGAGATGGACTTGCTCTCTGTAGCCACTGTTGCTGTCACTCCTCCCTTTTGCTCTTGCTGTTTTGCTGCCTTCTGCCACCATGAACTGCTACCCTCTGCCATGTTCCAGTCTATCTTGGAGCCAGGTGAGTATAGACTGAAACCTCCAGTAACTGTGAGCTAAATAAAGCTTTCCTTCCTTCATTTTGGTGTCAGGTAATTTGTCCCAACAACAAGAGAAGAATAACTAATATATTAATTTTACTCAAAAAGATATTTTGCCCTGCCCATCTTGCATAATGATGTAACTCAGATTTAGAAAAACAGCAAATGACACACTCCTTGTACATCGTAAGGAAACTTAGTGGCCTAGAGAATAATAAAACAGTCCCAGGACTAGGGCTGTTTATGTACAGCACTTCATAGTTTTTTGGGTTTTTTTTTTTTTTTTCCTTAAGTGTGGACTAGGGACTGGAGCCTAACACTGAGCTACATACATCCCTTTCCTCTTTCTTATTCTGAGACAAGGACTAAGTCCATCAGTCACAAGGACTGGGCTTGGACTTGTGACCGTCCTGCTTCGGCGCCCTAGAGTACAGGCTTGTACCATGTTCACTTACTGTATTTTTAAAGCCTAGTTTCACATTACTCTCTTCTAGGAATTAAGGTCAGTAGAATTTGCACATACAAAACTGCTTTTGAGCTTACTGACGTAGCATACTTTTAACCAAGAAGTAGAAATAGCATCACTACCACCAAGGCTAAAGAAAAGAACACATGGAACAAAAATAGAGCCCTGTGAAGCCACACATGAAGAGACTAAAAGCTACACAAATGTATTTTCTAAAGATTTCTCAACTCAGAAAGCTTCATGAAGGTAACAAAATCTAGGCTGTCTCTCCTTGATATTGATTTGATAGGTTTCAGCTCTACTTAGAATTGTTTTAAACATTCCAGATGACCACTGCAACAATGCTTTAACTCCCAAGACTGAGTTTAAAGCTCAAATAAACAGTGCTGGCAGAACTTCACAATAATGAGTTCACCTAGTACTATGTACTCCCAAAAAGAGAACAAAGTATGGGTAGCTTTACCTGAACAAATTGATTTTAACAGGAATAAACTGTGGCATCTGCAACACTCACTTAGGGCCATGCCATGTCAGTCAAGTGTGCAAAGGTAAAACTTGTTTTATAAGTATGTACAATGTAGAGGGCATCGTCAGATTTACGCCACATCTTCAGTGATGCCAGGTGGTTCATTCACTACCAAACCCTTGCTGAGCACATCTATTTGTCCTATGTGCTAAAGATAAACTAGGAACAAAACTGAGGCTTCACAGGACAACATTCCATTTCCTACAAACCTGTCTGGTACAGACAAGGCACAAGCAGCTATGGCTGGGAAACCATTATTTGAAGGGAAAGGGAGCTTTCTCCTAGGCAATATTAAATAACTCAGAAGCCTGAAGGTTACAAGGATTAGAGCTGGCTAAACAACTGGAGTTTTGAAAAATCCAAATACAGTACTATAATTCAGTGCTTTAGCAGACTAAAATCATTCTCTAAAGAAAGGTAATTTCATATTAACACTGAATAAATTAGATATGTGGGTGTAAGTGCAACAGAGTCTTTGGATGGCACCAAAAAAATTACACAGAAATGGCACTGAAACAAATAGGCTTATAGTCTTCTGATATTTTCTGTTAAACTGTGTAAAAATTTCATTTCCCCAAATCCTTTTTATTTTATCCAATGTGACTTTTGGAAGAGCCGATGTGCCAGACTGAACAGTAAACATCTAAGTGACACGTGGCACAGTTCTCTGGAGCAGAGACTGTCTAGCATTCCAGTAAGGCCACCACTTTACTTACGTGGCTCCCCAACACAGAACCCCTCTTACCTGCCTTTGATGATCCAGGTCTGCCTTGTTACCAATTAAAATCATTGGAAACTCATCACGATCCTTTACTCTGAGAATCTGTCTTTGAAACTTATAGATTTCTTCAAAACTTTAAAAAAGAAAAAAAAAAGTAATCAATTTGGCAAGGATCAGAATTCGGCAAATTCTATGATCCATTCAATACTTTCTTACATTTCCTTTGTCTATAAAAACAAGTTTCCAAATTCAGCAAGCTGTGCTCTAGACAGGACGAGTGGGCTGTATGTTAACATGGGTACAAACCTGCCTCTGTCTGTGACCGAAAAGACCAACAAGAAGCCTTCCCCAGTCCGCATGTACTGTTCTCTCATGGCGCCAAACTCTTCTTGTCCAGCTGTATCCAAAACTAAAGAAAACAGCAATAAAGGGAATTGCATGCGTGTTTTTGTTTTGTAAAATGCTTTTCTATAAGGGCAGGCTCCCTCCACACGGGTCCTCTAGAGAGAGCTTCACACTTAGCATAATACGGAAACGGTATTCCTCTCAGTACTTCATTCTCAGTACCAAGGAGAAACCCTTTCTAATGGCAGACAGTTTCAGAGTTTATCTCCATCAGTTAAGGCGGATTTTGTGGTTAGAATACATTAGCATATCAATTAGAAGGTTAAAAATAGACACATTTAGGCAGATGGAATCAAACAACTCTGAAATTACTTTGGTGTTTATTCCATATCATGTAAAAAAACTAAAAAAAAAAAAAAAAGTTCAAAGAAGAAATTTTAGTTGCCCCCCCAATACCATACTTATAGCTCAAGTGTTAATGTATTTCTGGATCTCTGTGAATATAAGAATGCTCCACGTTCAAAGAACAGGGCCTTCTTCTGTGGAGAGGTAGGGTATTTTGTTTTTATTTTATTATTTTTTAATGTATTTGGCATAGGGTCTCACTACACACCTTGGACTCGTGGTGATCCTCCTGACTTCAGCCTCCCCAGTGCTGAGATTACAGGCATGTGCCACCACGCCTGGTTCCAGGCCTGCATGGCATGAAGTACCATAGCTGGCATCAAACTTGGATCCCTGCACTGGCCAGGAAGGCGCACAGACTGCTGAGCTACCTCCCCAGCCCAAGGTAAGGTGTTTTAACCAAACACATATTTGTTAAAGCCTGTATGCTTTTTCATAAATTCTAGGTTAACAAATGCTGAACCTTTTCTACAGTCCTTTCACTGCCTATACACTTTGCCACGGGGTAGAAAGAGCTAGAAACTGGTGTTTTTTCCAACTGTCCCAACAAATACACTCCAGCAAGTTAGGGTGACAAGACCAGTATCAGCAGAACAAGATCAGCCTATAGACTAGTTAACTTTTTATTTACTGAAGAATATTTAAGCAGACCAACAATACTTAAAACACTTAAGATTCATCAATAAAAACTAATGAAAGAGGAGCTTATTTATTCAAGATCATCCAGCATTTCAGTTATACTGTTTAACCTAGCAAAACATCAGAGACAATTTTTTAAATACGGGACATGTGAGCTAGCAAATAAATATATTTACTTACTATCTAGCCGGGCTGCTCTGTCATCTATCACACACTGCTTTGTGTAGGAATCTTCAATGGTTGGATCATAATCTGTTACAAAATAGGACTGTAAAAAACAAAAAGGAAAAGGTCTTATTTTAAAACTTGTTTTTGTGCTTAGGTACATAACCATGCTAATTTTATTAAATTCCACTTATCCAAAACTAAGTCAAATGGCTCCACATTAGCATTTACCTGCTATGGTTAGTTCTCTAATAAATGAAGTCTCTAGCACACCTTCCAAAGTGAACTTACAAAGTATTTCTGAATTTTCTCATCTGAAATATGCAAAAAGGCTACAAAGTAGATGTTCTACTTGGATACTTTTTTCATAATTATTTAAGGCCAAGAATCTAGAACTCAAATTCTTAAAAATAACAGAAGGTCAGTGTGATACATCTCAGCAGCACAGTACCTGCCTGGCAAGCTCAAGGTCCTGAGCTCAATACCCAGTACCAAGGGGGAGGGGAATAACATCATTCAGATATACTGGAATTTAAAATAGCCATCGATAGGTGAAAGCTATATGAAGACATACCAAGGGAGCAGAACACCCCACCCCGTATTTTCTCACACCTTGTCTTCCTCCCTCCCTCCAGCTGCTTTCCCTACTACACGGCACAATCAGGAAACCACTTCAAGGTGATTTCACCTGCATGACCCTCAGGTATTCACTGTCTTTGTTTTTATCTTAAAATTGTATGCTTTTCCATTTATCAAAGCCAACTGTGACCCTGTAAATCATCACAGTAAGAATGGGAGTTAAGGGGCTGGTGAAATGGCTCAGTGGTCTAAAGCACCTACTTAGAAAAAGCTTAGCAAAGCACAGAGACCGCGGTTCAATCCCCCAGCACATGCCAGCCAGCCCCGCCCCCTGGTGGGCTGAGCTGGCCACACACACACACACACAAATAAAATTAAAAAAAAAAAAAAAAGAATGGGAGTTAAAAGTTTCACAAATTTCTTTAAAAAGGTTTAAAAGGTAAGCTGATCATCCAAAAGGATGTTCTCCTACTTAGGGAAGGCCACTGACCAGGACACCGACAGGATGCTCCTTCCTGGGGGTGTTGGGGGTGTCCTCTGCCCTACTGGGGGCTGACTTCCTAGCGACCCCCTTGCTCACCTGCTACTAACAAAACCTGACAGAACACTTGGGACACACTTAGAGCTGAGCGCCAGGGCCAGCATGCAGGCACTCTTGCCGTAGACAGGCCTGGCTCTAGGACGCAGCACTCTTGAGCTACCTTCCCCAGCTTGGTGACATAATGCTCAAAAAGCCGCTTTTAGGTCACGCTGGGAACAGGACAGCACAGACCCTTCTATGGACAGGGGGCAAGGAGAATATTAACCTGCCTTCGACCATGCTTTTATGTATTTCTTTTGCAAAGACACTTTCTCCGTTTTATTTATATTTTAGGAATGCTCTTAATCACAGGATTCATTATCCATAATCCTATTTCCTTCTTGATAGTGTCACCGAAATGCATTACTAAACAAAGCCTAAATGAACCATTTGCAACAACAGCACCTTTTGCAGTAAGCCACCTTCCCGTGTGCTTAAGATAAACAAGTATCAGAACAATTCTTGACATGCTTGTGAGGTTCACAACCCTTCAAATACAAACAGCAACAAGGCACGCTATGCCTACGAAACAAACAACAAGCAGAACGCGTGGTCTTTCATCAAGCACACTGGAGAGCGCATGCCATAGTATGCACAGTAGGATGCATAGTATGGTTATGGCATAAACTATACTTTTAAGATTAGAGTGAAGCCAACTGGTGGTGCAGAGCTACAATCCCAGCACTCAGGAGGCTGAGGCAGGAAGACCGCCGCGAGTTCAAGATCAGCCTGGGCTACACAGTCATTTCAAGGGTAGCCTGAATGACAGTAATTGAAACTGTCTCAAAAAAGAAAGGGGGAAAAAACTTTGTGGTGTTTTTAACCACAAACTGGTATTTCTTACCATATTTTCATGTTGTAAAACCTGAATTTCACTGGATACTCTTATTTTAACCCTACATGTGATGCACTGTGGTAGGGGTACCACTGTTTTCTGGCTAAAAACAAATGAACAACAAGAAAAAAATTAAATATATTTTTACAAATATCCAAACCATGCAAAATAACAATTTCTCAAATATGATGGGGTTTTGAAATGTAAGACTAAAACATTAACATGCATTGTGGTATATGCAATTCTGAGTCCATTATATAATAAACTGTTCTTCCTTTTAGTGGCTGTAGAAGTTTCATATTTCTTTAGATGGCAGGTCCAACGTTGTAAGACTTTTGCCATGCCACTAACTCATGAATTTATTCCATTCCTATTAATTAATATGGTGTGCAGCTTTTCAGGCTCACATTTCATGTTTGCTATATCTTGTTTTCATAATTCATCTAGAAAGACATCACCTGCTTGCTACACATAAATCTTAAAGGGCCATGCTCCTTGAAAGTTTGTTATCTAAAGGACAGCACTGGAAAGCTTCTCAAAGAATCAAACACTACCCTGGGGCCAGGGATACAGCTCAGCAGCACAGCACCTGCCTGGCAAGCTTAAGGTCCTAGTTCGATTCCTGGTTAAAAAAAAAACCAAAAAACAAACAAACAAACAAAAAAAAAAAAAAAAAACACTACCCTGGTTCAGGGTGTGGCCTGGTGGTAGAGAGCTCACTTAGCATAAGCAAGGCCTGGAGTTCAAGCCCAACTGTGCGGGGGGCGGGGGTCCCTCTCTCATAATTTTTCCAGTAAACAACAGATTAGAATATCCCTAAAATGAGCATTCATATGTGCAGATAAGAAAGACAACCATCTCCTCCCACTGCAGAACATGGTTCTATCACTTACACTTGGGGACCAGGTGTTTGAGACTGCAGTGAGAAGCGAGTCCCCGGTGGTGGCCAGTCTAGGGTTCACTTCTAGCTGCTACGTCCTAGCTGTGGGATCCGAGGCAATGCACTCTCTCCCCCTATGACTTCGGTTTACGGTTTACGTAGATACAACTGAGGCAATGCACACAAAGTAGCAAGACGTGTTCCTGCTGATGTTCATGTTAACCACAGCAACACTGTCTTACTTCTCCCATGCACTGAGATGTCTGAACTAATGTTTTTACTCAAGTATAAAGACCTGCTACAGTAACTCCGATCCTGACCTCTGGAACTTGGTATCTCAATGTTGTAAATCAAGATAAAAGCTCCCCACCTGGCATTCTGGAGATGTTTGCTGATTTGCGCATTAATTATACACAGGTGGACACATAAATGAAAACCCATTAAGCAACAGGACTCAGATCTGCACACCTTCACACTCACACAGTACTGCACTGAGCTGAGCAGCAGAGGCTGGGGAAGCGCAGGCAAAGAGGGTGGGCCAAAGGCCTAGGAACACACTGGAGGGCCAGGAGGGGCAGGGGCTGCGGCAAGCACCCTGCTCTCCTGGCAGCACAGAAGGGGCTGTGTGGCAAAGAGTCCTAGTCCGAAAGGGCAAAAGGACTTCCGTCTGTTCTGGTAGGACTGGAGAAGCTATCCCATCCAGCCAGAGAGCCTACTTCCCCTGATAAAATCTGGTTTGTGTAAAGTTGTCAAAAGCCCTTAACAGCGCAAAAGTATTTTGCTGTGATAAGCAGCAATGTTATTATATGCCTCTAGACTGCACAAGCAGCACTCAAGTTGCCTCCTAAGGAATGTGCCAGCTCACTGTCCTCCTCCTCCAACAGCTGTGTGAAGGAGGAGGAGAATGGTGAAGAGGAAAGAGTGAGCCGCGGACTGGACGGCGACAACCCACTTTCTCTTGACAAGCAGGTGAAGGTGTAGTTCCAGGCACTGCCACAGGGCGGAGTCTGGTCGGTCTACTCCCAGGACTGGGCTTTACTGGAAGTTCCGGGAAGCTCCAAGAATCCAATCATGGGCTGGAGAGATGGCTCAGTGGTCTAAAGCACCTACTTGAAACAAGCTTGGCAAAGCACAGGGACCGCGGTTCGATCCCCAGCACCAGCCCTGCCCCCTGGTGGGCTGAGCTGGCCACACACACACACAATAAATGTAATAAATAAAAATAAATAAATAAAAAAAAAAAAAAAAGAATCCAATCATGGAGTTAATAAATCTGCTCAGCGCACCTGCACAGAAAAGGGCTGAAAGGCCAGATCTGAGGCACCACTGGGAACTGGATGGGTGCTCCGGAGCGCAGCACCCTGCTCAGAAAAGTCTTAGGAGCCCTCTATAGAAGGAAGGGGTATAAGAAGAGGAGAAGGAAACAGATGAAACAAGTGTGAGAAAGCGAAGACTTCATTCTGGACAGTGTGCACATGGGTGTGTAGTATCCTATCTCTGAACATCTACACATCTTTAACAAACTTCATACTAAAACACTGAAAGTCCTGTAGGCCCTACGAACTATAGTGCCGAATCAAGAAAAGAAGGTAAGGGAGTTAACCCTGAGCTCTCACCTCACCTGTGCCCAAATAACTGCCCTCGACACCTGTGCCCATTTCCTCTTTCCTCAGAGTATTTCCTAGACTCTTCCCATCTTTCTCTCCTGTCACTATGCCTTTCCCCCTCCCTCAACATATGTACCTTACACTGCCACTCCTCCTTTCATCCAACTAGCAGGTAAGCTCCATGAGGACAGGGTCTTCGCCAGGGGTACAGCAGCCTGCCTAGGCTGGCTTCCACACACAGCCTGGCCGACTCACATGTCTCCAGGCTGCTCCAGCTCTGCAACTGCATCTCTCTGGAATCTTCCTGCTTCTGCTACTCCCAGCAATATGAGGCGCCCTCAATCACAGCGACAGTAGCCACCAAGGCTGAGTGCTGACCATAGGGGAGGTCGTCTATGATGTTATGTGTTATATCCTGACAAATATTTCCCACTTAATTCTAAAACTGATCCTTCCAATACTGCCTTTTACAGACTTTTTAAAAATGATGTACAGAATTACATTACTTCTACCAGGTCACTCAATAAACAGAACTGCAATTTAAATTTAGATATAATCCTAAACTCATAATCTAAGAATTGTTGCTATTTAATAAAATTCATGTTTCAAATTTTTCTCTCCT